ATGTGATCTTTTGAGTGTATTCCATTTTACATACAAATTTAGTACATTGTTATCACTTATCAGAGACCATATTTGCACTTTTTGTTTATGAGCATAGAAAGGAACAACGTATTGTTTTACCTAATTGTAGGGGACGTGTATTTTCTGTGATATTTCAAACATAATTTTGATGAATCTGTTGCACTATACTTTTAGCTGACATCATTTGGCAGTTGTAAAAGAATTTGTTTCTTTCTTGTGATTATTATTAATCATTACTATATATTTAAGAATATGTAGAAGTTTGAATTCGAATGGTCCATTAATACATAAGGAAGGAGTATTCTTATTTCAAATTTCAGTCAAAATGATAAATGTAGATGTGGAATAACAAATGTAAAGCAACTCACAGTAAGGTTTGTAATCCTTAAAAGAAGACACATTTGTTTCTACCTAATTTTGTAAAAGCTGTGGAAAAGGATATTGCGGCATTCAGTTTTGTGAACGATCCTGCTATATATCACAAGTAAATCATCTGTTAAACATTAAAGTAATTTATTCATTGAAATCCATAGAAGGCATGTCTGACAAAACCCATCTTTCGGCTCTTTTAAGTGGAAAGAGTTACTATCTCTTTCTCTACATAAGCTTACTCATAAATAATCTCCAATGTCCAAAATATTAAATGCCCATACATACCAAAAATAGCGAGAAAAAAATCCAAATGCAGTATTAATCGATTTCTAAATGAGTAAAAGTACAGTAAAATTCATCATTCCAACGAGCTTCTTATCCCTTTCATTGTTAAAATGTATCTGCCCTTTATACAGATTTCATAAAAGATATTAATTTCTTCTACAAGGTAAAAAATTCTCTCTATTTGGCTTAAAAATTCTGAACAAGAGGTCAATAGTTTACTCATAACTCTTCATGTCTGAAAGTAAAATTTACAATTTTTAGGTATCATCTTATGTTTGTTTTAACTACAACCTGGGTAGGTTATACATAATTATAACACTGAGTGTGTAATAAATATTGTGCAACATACAAATGATTTCTTCTTTGAACTGGGCACATGTTTTCCTGTACTTGTTTTTCACCTGTACGTAATAACTTAAATACACTCCCTCTCAATAAAATGTTCAACATCAACTTAAGCTGTATTTAATACGTAATCAAGATTAAAGATTTCTTGAGATCTATAGACGAATCTTTAACCATAACGTTAATACCTTATCTGTGCGAGTACTTTATACTTCAGAATGATTAACTATAACTACTAATATTCCTTAAAAAATGAAACGGCTGGTCCTAAAAGGTGGAAATAGATGTACACAACTTGGTGAACTGTACCACAGACGACGTACAGGATAGACCCAGCATCTTGTGGGACTTTTAGTCCGGGGCTTTAGGGCCGAGAAAGCCCTTACCATTTTCGTGTCACTACGAATGTTACCGATTTAGCATAGAATATGATTACAACATTAGTAGTGATTGGAATTGGAATTAAACGGAACTATGAAATTACAAATAAAAAAGTAACGTAATTGTTTATTAGTAGATGATTCATCTCATGCGTGTGTTCTGCTGTTGTCAAAAGATCGTGAACAGTTCTACCTAAGCAATCCAATATATGTATGTATCTTTATATGCAAATTTAATAAAAGAGGATTTTTTACATCTGTCGACTTTACCATCTTTGATGATTGGGTTGTGGGTAATTCATAAATTCACCGCTTTATATCGTAGAGGGTATAACAAATCTCTGATTTTTTACACGATGGGTATTTCAGAACTTTGGACACTAAAATACATTAGGTACAAGGTCTATCCTGTACGGCGTCAGTGGTTAATGGTAACTTTAGGGTAAGTACTTATAATTAGAACATGTAATATACAGGATGCCCCGTAAAGAGTGTAACACCCGGAAATGGGGGGTTGCTGGGGTGACTCTGAACAAGTTTTTCCTCTACCAAAATGTTGGTTGAAGTTTCGTTTTTGAATTATTAACGAAAAACATTGGCCAACCAGAGCGCGCGTAGAGCCTCCACCCAGGCACGGAGCGTAGAGACTTATCCGTGCGCGATCGTGAACAAACGCATTGACACAGCGTGGGTATCGAGGGAAGCGTGCGGCAAATGTTACATCGTCTTAAATTAAGAATAATCTAGAATTATTCGTTATTCATGAATAACAAATAAACTAATAAGTCGTTTAACACGTTGAATGCCGGATCAATTTTACGTAACTTGTCCACGGTGCCGAAAAGAATTTTTATTCTAATACAACACATTGCAATATGCTTAAATAATATAGAAAGATAAAAATAAAATTATTTAAATATGCTGTGTGACGCATTAGGTACAAATTTTACAAATACTACAATTTATTCAAATTAAATGCTTTTACTAATTTTGAGACCGCCGGTCACCGATCACCCCTACGGCATTCAACATGTTAATAACTGTTTTCGATACTTTTATTCATTATCCGAAAGGACTAAAGTGTTTTATTACTTATGAAAAACTTACCCATTCGTCCACGAATTAACCTGCTTCGTCGGAAGTGGGTCATTATGCCGATCCTAACCTTTCAAGGCAACCCTCAACAGCTAATGTTACGGCCGAGTCGGTGAACTCACTTCACTGCACAACCACTTTTACCGTTATCGACGATATTATAAAAAATAAATCGTTGCTACATCATAATCGTAAAATAGCCAAACATTCCCGTTTACAATACGGTATGGATAATAATGTAATTTATGACACTGAGGTGGGTGAGGAAACGCCGTTACACTGTTTTCACCTCAATTTATTAAGGTATACATAAATGTGATGGTAGATGTACAATTCGCCCGGAAAATACAATCGTTTTATGCGTTAACTGGCCCTGCAGCAGCGGTTTAGTAGAAGAAAAAGTGAACTAAATATTTAAATAGTTTTATTTCTAACTATTGACAAATTATTTATACATATTGCAATGTGTTGTATTAGAATAAAAAATTCTTTTCGGCACCGTGGACAAGTTACGTAGAATTGGTCCGGCATTCAACGTGTTAAACGACTTATAAGTTTATTTGTTATTCACAAATAACGAATAATTCCAGATTATTCTTAATTTAAGACGATGTAACATTTGCCGCACGCTTCTCTCGATACCCACGCTGTGCCAATGCATTTGTTCACGATCGCGCGCGGTGAGAGTCAGCGCTCCCGTGGTTGAGCCCGGGCTCTACGCGCGCTCTGATTGGCCAGTGTTTTTCGTTAATAATTCAAAAACGAAGCTTCAACCAACATTTTGTTAAAGGAAAAAGTTGTTCAGAGTCACCCCGGCAACCCCCCATTTCCGGGTGTTACACTCTTTACGGGACACCTTGTAGAAATGCGGCACCGCGCGACAATTATGAAACCATTTTGGGACGCATTTTGGCTACTACGTATTCGACGTTATGAAATCTTATCTTTGTGCGACAAAGAAGATGATCATATTATACCGAAAGCGAGCGAGACAGAAATAAGCAACATTCGGGTCTCTTATAACAATTCAGTAACAGATATTTATAGTTTTCACTAGATCTTCATAAAATCATCAATGCTTTGCGGACTATATCATAAACGATAAATTTTACAGCAGTTTTAATTATTTGTAATTAAACGCAGTCTTAATAAGGTCGCATTTAGATGAACTTTCATCAACGAAATCTCACAAATTGATAATTTTCTCATCATACTGTAATAAAAAATCTCTGGTGGGTAGGCAAAAGAATATAATTCCAATTTTGGTCAAACAGGATAAGTGCGCTGATATATTTTATTATACATTGTTGTCCTTTGTTTGTGATTATAATAGTACAAGTCAATTTCACTTCTTTTCCGCTCTTTTACCTAAAATTCTAATAGTATATGTAAACAATACAATATATTATAAGAACTTCTCTGCAAAACTAATAATTCTAACTTATACTCTTTTGCCCGCCCACCAGAGGAATATGAGAACTAATTTTTTCATTAGCGGATAATTCATCCCCTGCGCATGTTCTACTGCTGTCAAAAGATCGTCGATAGTTCTACCCACACAATCCAATATATGTACATATGTATTTTTATATGCATATTTAACAAAAAAAGGATCTTTTACATCTGTCGACTTTGCTATCTTTGATGGTTGGATTGTATACATATAATTCTTAAACTCACCGCTTTATATCGTAGAGGGCATAACAAAACCTCTGATTTTTTTACATGATCGGTATTTCAGAATGTGGGACGCAAAGTCCCATAAGGTGTTAGGTCTATTCTATATCTCGTCTGTGCTCACAGCCCTCCTGACGTGGGACAAAAAATGCATTAGATATTAGGTCTTCTGTATCTCGTTTGTGCTATAAGTTCCTACAGTCGCTAGCAGGCTATAGCATTTAACAGCACAGATTGACTGGGAGACGAAATTCGAACACTTTACCCCACTATTGCAATATTTATCATTAAATGACAAAATATGGTATAAAATTTAAACGTTCGACCTGTGCAGCTCAGAAATTACAATAATAAATACTGCAGATAATAAGTAAATATTTATTACAATGTTATACAGTATTAAACATGAGAAAAATATTTTATGAAATTTATTTTACTTTGAGCCTTGTATAGTATGGTATTGTTTCCAAATTGTTTATTAATATTACTTACCAATATTTTTATGAAGTAATAACCTATAATTCCGTATGAAACTAAAGCTGATCTAACAGTACTATGATACAATGCACGTACTACGTATGATTATGTATTATGCTTGTCCATGTATGGTATAACATAAATGAATTTTGCGGACAGCTTTGTTCGAAATAATCCAGTAATGTCAAATGCTGATAAATAAATAGTAAAATAATTTCGTTCGTTCGTTCTAATATCTGATATTTGAAATAACATTCACAAATGAAGGAACATATACATACATACATATCTTGTACCCAAGTTGATAATGCAGTGATCACTGAAAGTACCGGGAAATTTCTGTTTCAGTCGGTCAGTCAGAGGGCGAAATTAACGACTACTACTTTAGGGATTCGTTTGATCATTCCTCGTCAGAAAGTCAACTATTGGATGCGTCCGGTAAACCACATAGTCGTTCAGTGACTCCGGTACCGAAAATGCAAAAGCTCCAAAACTCGAAACTCTGCCTCCAACAGCAGCGGCAACATCAGCAGCAACAACATCAACGACAACCTAATCAGCGTCTAAATTATAAATTAAAGTGCAAGAGTCTGCGAATAACGAGACTTTTTGTTCCAGCTTTTATGCTTACGATCACGGTTTTATTTATTGTGATCGTCTTAGTGTTTGAAACAGATACGACGCTTTTCAATAGCTTACGTAAGACGCCAGAAATGGTAGCCTTAAAGAACCAATACTATGTCCCCATCAAAGAGTTTTTGAGGACAAAGCTCGGCCTATTTTGATGCGACCCGGTGATAATCGGGCTGAGGTCGTCCTTTGTCGCTAACAAGTAGCGCTCCCTTCAGTGCCAAGTCGAAAAGATGCTCTTGTCAAGACCGAGAAGCAAGAATACTTATATCCTGTTTCCTTGTTGTGCATCCTTTTTTCTTATATATGAATTTCCGAGGAAACAATTCGTTTTCCTTATTTCCTTTTTCGTTCTCTTTTCTTTTCTTCTTCTTTCTTTATTCTTACCGAATAAGTGTAGATATGTATATCCTTCACAAATATCCACTGGAACAAGAAGTACCTTCGATTAATTTGTTTAGTTTTTACATATGTATGACTTAATACACAGGGTGTCCCACGCAACTGGGACAAGCTATATCTTTACAATGGTTAGAGATGGAAAAAAATTCCATAGGACAAAATTATATGGTGTCAAATGATGCACATTCTGGAATTAGGTTTATGCATTTCTGTACATCGCTGCATCATAAAAGTGCAATTGTACTTGTTTCTTCAATGGAACCCCATATTTTTGGATATACCAGTCGATATAGTTTTTTATTGTCTGCAAAAAAATACGAAGATACTTATGCCTTACCTCTATTAGTTAAAATGTTACTGCAGTTTTTAATTTCTGTCTATCGGTATATTTTCGCGGATGTATTGTTGCGTAAGTGTAAGATACCTTGTCATCAGTAGCGTTTCATTCAGTAGTAGAAAATCTATTGCAAAATAAAATTATAAAATCATTTGCAAATAGTGACAAAAAAAAATTGAGTGTGGCCACCGCGATCACTGGCCCTAACACTGCTCGACTTTTTTTTTATGGGAATGCCTTAAAGGCAAAGTGTATTCTTGAGCTATTGTCAATAGTTAACAACGTGTGTATTTTGCCAGAAATATCCAAAATTACGGAAAGAGACATAACAACGGAGGACCATTTGAGCATTTCTTCTAGCGTAAATATGCAATGTCTACTAATACATTGAAATAATATAGCAAATTTCAAGCTGCAATAACTTTTGAACTAATAGCTTTAAGGCATAAGTACCTTAGTATTTTTTTGAAGAGGGTAAAAAATTACATAAACCAGTATACCCCAAGATATGAGGTTCCATTAAAGAAACAATTGCAATTGCACTTTTATGATGCACCGATGCACAAAAATGCATGAAGTTAATTCCAGAATATGCACCACTTGATACCATTTAATTTCTTCCTAACCACTGTAAAGATACAGATTGTCCCAGTTGTGTGGGACATCCTGTATTTGCGAAGTCCATCAAAGACAGAAAAAATGATTTGTACAAAAAAAGTTTATATTAAGAATTCTCTTATTTACGAGGTATGCATAATCTTACAAGGTATTAACAAATTTTGTTATAGTATATCTTTATCGAAGAATATTTAGTAAATTTCAGATGAAAATCGATTTCTATACATTACTATTAGATGGAATAATACATCGCAGATCATGGAAATCATATTTGTATTCAAAAAGAAAAATAAGTTGTATGCAAATATGTACCTTTTGAACTTACAATTAGTAATAGATCATGAGCAAAAACATCATGTAGTGTATTGCACAATATAATTTTACATTTTACGTAAAATGTAACGATATTATTTATTGATTTTAAATTAAGAATATGCTATACGTGAAAATGATTGTATTTTCCAATATGCAAAATATGCAATTGAAATTTAGACATTTTTCGAATGTACTTCGAACACTCGAGGTATCGTTTATTTTCCTTTATACTTTAGGTTTTTTATGAAATATTATAATATTCGCAGTAGTCACGACCATTCTACGCATTTTCTATGGAAATGTATAAATGTAGTCGTAATGCAGATATACATACTAGATGTCAGGTGAGGAGTTCAACAAACTTCTTCCACGTGTTCAGTAGGTCATCTTGAACAAAAAATATTATGCACATTATAGGTCTCATTTCTTTCGTTACCAGGATAAGCATTGTTTATACTGGCTTCAAGAGCAGGAACAAGTGGTTTCCAATGATGACAAAGCTTGTGTATAGTATTCAGTCTACGTTTTAGAGTTGATTTCGATAGTTCGACAGTGTGCGAGACGCCTCTGTGCAGGACGTCCTTTTTCAAATGTAGAATACATATCTCGATACGATGCAACATTAATACTAGAGGCTGTGATAGCTGAGTATCAACAACGATACCCTGATCGCACAGTTCCTTACCACTCTACTCTCCAAAATGTCTTTAGAAGTTTGAGAGATTATCTGTACATTAAATAACGTGTACATCAAAAGTAGATTAAAATAAATACGTTGAAATTATTGTTCCGCTGTATATTTAATACATCATTTTCGATATAATTGACTAACGAACCCTGTGTAGTTTTCATTTAAAACATAATTTAAGGAATTATAATTTATCGCATTGCATATTGAAAAATACAACGACTAAATTGAAACGCGAATATACATTCAAATGAATACTTAATCTTCAGTTTTAGTAACATATAACTAGAATTCAGCATGCGTCATTATAAAAACTATTCGTTTATAAGCGTGTAAACTAAGAGACTAAAATTTGTGTAAGTATAAAACTTATTTCGGAGCTTTCAGTTTTCATAAAATACTTATCAGACTTTTATAAGACGACAATTTAATAGAACATAAAAAATATAGAAGCGGGCGATTTAAGATACAATCTGGTTATAAGTACGTAAAAAAAAAGTTTCTTATACTTATATTCTACTGTTATGAATATTTTCTTAGAAATATGTATAAGGAAAACGGCATGCTTCCTAACCTTTTGTATTGGCATACAATCGACAGGTATGAATCATACTTATCATATTGGATGAAAAAATCTATTTGTAACAATTTTGATTGTGATTTATTCGTTGGTTTGATAAATGTACACGCGCAGAATTCAGTATGTGTGTATAATAAGATGGATTGCCTAACATTAACATCTGTATTAATTACTTTTGTTTCTAGTGATGTCAGGAAGTGTTTAACCAAGCAATGTTTATGCAGTGAGAATAAGTAATACAGGGGACAACATATTTTTATCGATAAACTAACATCGCTAGTAATACTGCAATTGCTGCAGTACCTAAAACGCTATTTTAAATACTTTTCGTTTGTTTGCATAAGTTGTATGTATTAAATAACGATATGTACGGTCGGTGGAAAAGGTATTGCGAAGTCGTAATAATCGGTCAGACATCTCGGGACACGGAACATCTATCTCTGTTAGAGATTTCATTAAGATAGAAACAAGTATCAAAGAGAACAGAAGGCGCAAACATCTGAAGGTCGACAATTCTTCTTTTTTTTTTGCAAATGACACCATATATTTGTAACTGCGAATTCCACGTGTAAAAGCAAGTTCGATTTGGCGAAACGAGTTCGATGATATTAGATTTTGAAATTTAGAATTGCATGTACAATAATAATTTCGAAATGTTTTCATATACATGTAATAATAAATTGAACGTAGTCGAAAACGACTGAAGGAGGACTTCAGAATAAAACAATTTAACGCAAAATAATACGAAGACTCCAGTTCTCGATCTTAGATATCTGAGACCATGGTCGTTTGATGGTCACACTATCGTGTAATTATTGTCTACGTTTTGTTATCAACTGTAACGTTATCAAGTCAAAAATATACCTACGGGGTGACATTTGCAGAAAATATTGATAATTTTTGAATAATTTTGAATGCGCAGTTACAGTAGAATCTGTCGATATTTCAATCATAGTTGCCTCCTTAAATAGTACAATTATCCTTTTCAACATTGCCTCTTTTGTCCAAATTTAACAGAGATATTTAGATGTTCTGTGTCTCGTGACTCACCTTTTATACAAGGTGGTGTGCACTATCTTGATATTTTAACATCTCAAAAACTGCGCGATTTATTTTCATAATTCTACTCCATAATTGTACAGATCTCAGGGAGTAAAACGGGGTAAACTTTGAAATTTCACGTGAAAACTTATAAAATCAATCGTTACTAAACTAACGAATTAAACGAATACGCTTTCTTCAAATTTTCTGTTCTCAAATACATTGAAAATTCAATTATACAATAATTTTTTCTTTAATATTTGGGTAAACAAATTTATAGAAATGTAAGATATGGGTCCAAAACGTGAAGTAAGACCGTATGATGAACATTTTAACATTACTTTATTCCCTATTGAATCGCGTAGAATTTTGCATCGGCATCTACTGCTATTCGACGCTTTATTTTACGATCCTACTATTGTTTATACCGGGTCAATCACATAACTTGTCTGCTCTGAATAATTTTTAAAGTATGTATTCTACAAACAAGTGTTTTATATAGAAATTGCACGGTATCGAAGGGAATACATGATGCTAAAACGGTTTTCTTTTTAAATAACCTGCTTGCTTACGAGATATCAAAGTGACCTTGAATATTTTAAATGGAATACGTACCTTTTTGTATCAAAATTTAAAAGAACAGTGAACTTTTTATAAAAAAGTAGTATTAAGTTTTATTTGCCCTAAACCTAATAATGCACAGGTGTACGGAAGTGAACGAGCACCATTTGGAGCACCTAATGTAACTGAGGTAAGTAGCGAGACCACGAACAACGTTTTCGCAAATATTTCGCTAATTGTTAGATTTAGGGCAAATAAAGCTTCTCATAAAAAATTCACTGCCCCTTTAAATTTTAATACAAACGTGTACGCATTCCGCCTAGAAAATTAATTTAAAGATACTGTATTATCATTGTATGTTCCCTTCGATATCGTGCAATTTATATATAAAACACTTTTTTGTAGAACATTTTGCAGACAAGTTATGTGATTCATCCTGTATGTATAGGGTGTTCACGTTATTAGTTTCCAATGTTTCTTTCATAAATAGTAGATTTGCGAAAGAAATAAAAAAGAATAAAGTTTCACTACTTTTCGTACGCAAGAAGATGGCTTGAATAAATTTTTCGTGAATATGTGTAAGAGTTTTCACGCAATAACGATGTTATGTGTT